TGAGGAGTAATGGAAGGATGTGGTTAATCAGCTCATCCTGCACACCTTGTATCCTAGACAGTCCTGTGTTGGCGCCTCATGTGCTCAGAGTCCACATGGTTATCGGTTGTGCCAAAGAAGCATTTGAACATGGCAAATATTACCCAGGATTGGTTTCTCATTGACACATGTCGCGCAAGGAGTTTGCCTTTGTCCCTCATGATTTCAGGACTACACCTCTATAGCCTGCGTTCATGAACGCCTTGGCGAGACCGATGTTATTTGGCACCATACGTCTGATTTCTGGCCCCTCATCAACAGGAATGTCCCTGATGACTCGCCCTTTCTGTTTGGGATCCTTCGCCAAGTGGCCAAGGCTCGCCGTGAGCAAGTTGAGCATGACACGACTGAAGTGTTGTTTTTCTGATTGACGGCTTGTTGACTGGACGTTGGTTAGCTTCGTGATGTGCTTGATGCCGATTGGAAGTCTGATCGGGTATCCTGAATTGTTTTGTTGTCTGCGGAATTCCCCAGCGTGGGGCAGATCTGATTGCTCTTGGCCATGAACGCCAAAACCTCTCAGAAGGGGTTGGCGCGATGGGGACGCAAACCCGATGCTGGTGATGCAGGAATGCTGGGGATGTTGATGGAGTTGGCGAGGATGTAGGGTATTCGTGCTTTGCTACTTGCTTGCTTGCTTATTTTTACCAGATGTCTCTCCTGGTGAAAAGACATTGAGCTTTAGGTAGGGGTACTGTATTGTTCGTACTGGGAAACCTGGCTTTATGTGATGTCTCTGCGGGGATCGGCGTGGTCGATGTCAAACAACTGGACGTGCTGGATCATAGCCGCAATTGCGAGCTTGAAAGTTTGTCTTGTGGTATGCGCGCCTGCTCTTGGAAGCGGCCAGCCCCGGGCTCAAATCCCGCTTGGTCCCTGCAGCTTCTAAGTGAGGAAGTCAGCTGCGCGAGAGTAACTCGCAACTTGCACTCTTGAACTCCAGCTGGAAAATCCAGATTTTCAAGTACGAAAGTAGCACGTGAAGATACGCGAAGTACACTTTCGCAGCTGCAGGTGGAGAATCGAGACTTTCCCTGCCCGCTACTCCAAAATCCTACAAAAAGCGGGTTCCGAAACATAACCTGGTTTTCAGACAAAAAACCTGGGTTTCAAAAATATGTTTTTTAGACTGCTTTTATACCTAGAACTTCTTGCGGCAGAAATTTCCGCCGCAAAAACGGCGGAAGGAAAAAAACACAAAAAAACAAAAAAGCACACCGCAACTAAAACAAAAACGCCGCAACACTGCTTCCAGAGTTTCGGGCTGGCTGAACATAATCCCAAGTAAGTTCCCATGTGTCCCCCAGCAAGCAAGCATGCTGAGCACGCCCCGGCCGCTTCTTTCTATAGCTCCGTTTTCCAAACAATGTTTCAAAGCAGGACAGCTTTGCTACCCCGCCGCAAGCGTCCGTAAATCACAAAAAACATTTTTGGGATTGGGGGGTCGCCCAAAACTCCTAGAAACCATTTAGAACGTCCAACACGCACAAACCTACCAGGAAACCAAAACGCCTAGAAAAAGGCCGGAGAATGAATCTTCAGGCCAAGTACGAAAATAGTACGCAAGGTACGTACACTTTCGCAGGTGGAAAATCGCAACTTTCAAGTACGAAAGTAGAATGCGAAGGACACTTTCAGAAGGCTCCGGCTGGAAGATCGCAACTTGTAAGTGCGAAAGTATTCCGCGAAGTACGCTTTCACAAGGCTTCGGCTGGCAGTTCGAAACTTTTTACTGCGAAAGTATTGCGCGAAGTACACTTTGCAGGTCCGGATCAACAACCAGGCTCATGTCGAAAGGCTGCTGTGTTGTGGACAATGCTGCGCGCGAGACTTGCTCAGAGAACTTCCTCATAGAAAAACTTGTTCCGAGCTTGCACACTTGCGCGGAGCGCTTGCGCAGCGCAACTTGCACAGACCACTTGCGCACGCGCAGCAACTTGCACAGAATACTTTGGCCGAGCGCTTGCACAAAGCAACGCTTGCACAGAGCTCGCAACGCCGAAGCTTTTCAGTCGCAGAAGGACACGCGTAAACACGTGTACAACAAAGCTCTGCAAAAAAAAAACATGAGCAAACTACATCATTTCTATCTCGGAGCCGCAGGGCTATAAAAATACGCAGCAGCCACTTGCCCATGAAAGGGAGCACACACACACACACACACACATGCGTGAAATCAACGCTCAGTTTGCTTTCGGGCCACCCGTGGTTCTAGTTTTCCCCCACTTTTCGAGGGTTCCACGCGGCAAACACGCAGCGTGAATCGCGCACCTCCCAGCGACCCCTCTGGCTGAAACAACTCCTTTTTGGAGGCGCCTCCTTCAGGTGTTGGTGGACCAACTTGCTCACCAAGATCTGGAATTCCTGCGACGTCTCCGTCTCCGTCCACACGGGTTCCGCCTCATTCTCCTCAAACACCTTGGGTTCCTTAGAGGACCAAGGCGCAAGCCGCTTCAGGCATGTCACTGGTCACTGAAACCAAGGAGAGGCCATGAATGATGCGGCACACAAACTGAAAAAGGTTTATCTTCACGCACGACACAAAAGTATGCCATATGTATGTGGGTATCCTAGCCTCCGCAAAGTGGTTTAGACAACCAGTGTAGGTAGGGTAGTTCCCTTGGTCAGCTTTACATGCGTGGAAGCACTCGCAAGGCGCAGGCTATGCCTTGCAAATCGCATAGCTTGGCCTTCAGATACCACATGCAGCGCCCGCTTGCACTCCTCCCAAACTCAAAAAGGGGGTCCAAAGTTCATGACATATGCCACAGGGAATTACATGTCAACGTGCAGGAAAGAACTCCATAAACAAAGGCGGGAACAGCCACTAATCAGTTGCTCAGAAAACTCGGATGCACACTGGCGCAGCCAAGCGGAGCTACAGGCCGGATCAGCAATGACTCACATCTCAGGAATTGGCACTAGCACCATCCCTTGGTCCTAGTGCTGCTGGTTATCCCGAGTTTTCTAGTGGCTTCTTGAGCTCCGCGGCTCAACACTGTTGTTTGTGGCGTGTGATGGCTCACCAGCAGGATGCTCAAAGCCGGATCCAAGGCCGGGCGGACCGTCGACCCCCCCTTTAGACAAAACAGGAGCATCTTGCGTTCATTTTTGTTTTCGGGAGAAAAAACGATTCTAGTCAAAAGACGGTCCTTGGCTAGCTATCTCTTCCAGCCAGCCCCACCTAGAGAAACAACCACATGTCCCTTCAAATCTCAGCCACCAAAAAAGAACTACTTCATCCATGCTGGTCAAGGGGCGAGCTGGTTTTCCGGCAGCTCCGGCAGCTCCGGCTTGGTGGTCTTCACGCCCGGCAGGTTGAAGAACCCCGGGCCCGACAGCCCGGACGCGTCAATCATCCGGCCGAGCGTTTCGGTGAGGCCGGTTGCGTCGGATTTCGGTGAGCTCCGGGAAGCTTGGCAAAAGGCCAAGCCGCGCTGACTGTGGCTGGGTAGAGCTGGTTTGGGCGCTCGAATGCTGGCCGGCTCAGGGCAACATGTGGTATCTGTGGGTATTGAAACAGGGGGACAAGAGTCTGACACGCGTGCTGCATAGATCCTCTTTCAGCGCAGAAAACCCTACACGGCGGGATTTGACCTGCCACTTGAACCAATACGAGCGTAAGCTCCGTGCTTTGAGAAAGCTAGCTGGTGTCTGGTGCCTTCAAACACTTCACTTGCACACGAACAACATAAACACAACACAAAACCCTCAAGACAAGGTACTTCAAACTGTACCATACTTCCAAAAGCTGAACAGGGACCCCCAAGCAAAGGATGCCTCGTTTTACCCCTAGCAAAGGCATCACTTCGCCCAAAGCGAGCGCCAGGCGCCTCACTCCAAATCCAAGAGTTCGGACACCTGGCCACGGAAAGCCGCGCGGTCGAAATGTGGGAAACCAACAGGGACGCGAGGCCAAGGAAAACCACGTTCTTGGGTCCTCATGTTGCTCAAAGACAAAGAAAAGGCAATTCAGAATATTGAAAAACACACACACACACACACGTAGCTGAGCACAAGACTGTCAGGGGTCAGTTCGCAAATCCTGGTGCAAGGGCTGTCTATCTGCTCATTACAAGCAAGTATCACAGTTCCTCATGGCTCGGGTGTGTAACAAGAACATTTGTACACATTTGTGTTCTTACTTCTATCATGCTGAGCACGCCCTTTCATGCAGCGGGGCGAGTTAAAAGGCTGGTTTAGCATGATCGGCGACGCACATCGACCTCATACATCTTCTCGCACCTTCTGCAACTCTTCGACTCAATCTCAGCATTGGTCAAATCCTGAAAACTGAGCCGCTGAAGCGATCAACCTAAAAATGAAGTCCAGCCCGGACACTTGGGATAGATACGGGCAGAACACGCATTTCATGGATGCGTCTTTCCCCCAAAAACATGGCTTCCGCTTTCCTGTTGGTTTCCCAAAAGGCCACCGCTGCGAATGATCTGGCCCCGCCTTCCAGTCCTCGTAGGTGTTGTCCGGCAGAAAGCGCCGGATCACGAAGGGGATCACACGTTGGATCAGCTCCTAGCAGGAGCCGTGCAAGTCAGCACCGCACGCAAGCTGAACAAGCTGCTGGATACATTTTCAAGAGGGCCAGTGGTTGGTTTTTTGAACAACCCGAGCATGGGTTGGTGCGTTTACAAGTTTGGGAACAAATGAGTCTGCTGACCCGAAGCCACTGGCCGGAAAAATGAGTATACCTAGAAACTCTTTCGGCTGAAATTTCAGCCGGAATCTGAAATGCATCAAATTTCAGCCGAAGTCACAGAAATTTGCCGGAATCAGCAACAACAGCTAGAATTAGACCGCTGAGGCTCAAGGAGAGTATTACTCGTAGCCGCCGGAATGGACTCAAGTTTCTTATTCGGAAAGTTTCGCCGGAATTGCGGAAAGTCGGGTGACACAAGCCGCCAACAAAACAACGCAATAATCCTGCTTATACTTCCAGTTGAAGAATGGCCGAAAGGCTAAAAATTGGCCGGCAATGGAAGAAGGATACTTTCTCGAAAAAGGCTGTTATTTCGTGGCATTTCGATTTTGTAGGTATATATATATATAATTATAATATATTATCGATTAATCCTCTGCGTGTCACCCCGTTCCTGTGCATCAGGTACATTTGGATGCCTTTTGAGCGTAGTCCCGGCTTGTTGCAAAGAAACACCCAACAACAGCCACCCACTTTGCACGGAGGCAGACCCAGGCTGCACGCTTGGCGTCAGTTTCAGGGAATAATCTCCAATTTTGCCACATCTTGGGAGCCTGTTGAGACCTATGAAGGTTGCAGCACACAGCTCAAACGTTGGCAAAGAGGTTCCTGGGTTGGGGCAATGCTCCTTTTCAACGGGAACCAGCGCTGGAACAACCTGAGAGATCTCTTATGATATTAAACAAGACCAAGAATTCCATGCAGGTTGTTGGCCGAATCGGGTGCGATGAATCGAGCGCACACTCGGGCCGAATCGAGTTCGATGCGAGGTCTGAATCGAGGACAACGCAAGGCCAAATCGTGGACGGCAAAGCATCGAATCGCGTCGGCGCGAGCTCAGGCTGGCCAGCCTGTTAACCTTGCCGCGGCGCTGAACTTGCAACTGCTCGGCGGAGTTTGTCTTCCTCGCGCAAGAGCTTGCAGAGACGAACATGGTTCGCAGAGGCGACCAAGAAGGCTCGTCGTGGAACTGGGGCGTCGCTCTGCGAGCTGGGGCGGTGTCATTTTCCTCGCGAAACGGCAGCAGGCTTCGTAGCCAAAAAAAGCTCATTAGCGCGGTTGTGGCTGGCCCGCGGCCACGAAGCTCTTCCCTGCGATCTGTGTGTCTGGCTGGCGAAATTGCTTGCAGCTTTGCCCTGCCACAAATTCTCGCGAAGCTTTGCCCTGCGCTGTCTTCTTGCGAAACAGCTTGTCGGGGCGAGCTTCGTACGACAAACTGCTCGTTAGCGCGGCCGTGCCAGCTCAGGCGGCCCGGGCCTGGCCGAAGCACGCAGGTGGCCCGCGGGCCACGAAGCTTTGCCCTGCGCTGTCTTATTCTTGCGACACGGCTTGCAGGGGCGAGCTTCGTGCAAAAACTGCCGGTTAGTGCGGTTGTGCGAGCTGAGGCGCCGCGGGCCACGCAGCTTTGCCCTGCGCTGTCTTTGTCTTGTTGTAGGCTGTGGAACAAGGTCGTGGGCGGCAGCGACCCACCCAATGTGGACGGGCTTGCCCGCCGTTCTGCAAAAAGTCAAGGCAGTCGATGATGACGGCCGCAAGAGAAGAGATGCAATCCAGATTTGACGGGCGAGCTTCCTTCGACAAAGTGCTCGTTAGCGCGGCTGTGCGAGCTGAGGCCCGGGGCTGGCCGCAGCACGCAGGTGCCCGCGGGCCACGCAGCTTTGCTCTGCGCTGCGCAGGTGTTCGCGGGCCACGCAGCTTTGCTCTGCGCTGCGCAGGTGGCCCGCGGGCCACCGTGCGCTGGCTTTTCTTTCTGAAACGGGAGCATCGTGCAAAAAAATGCTCGTTAGCGCGGCTGTGCAGGGATGCAGCTTCGCAGGCGGCCCGGGGCTGGCCGCAGCATGCAGGTGGCCCGCGGGCCACGAAGCTTTGCCCTGCGCTGTCTTTTTCTTGCGACACGGCTTGCAGGGGCGAGCTTCGTGCCAAAAACTGCCGGTTAGTGCGGTTGCGCGAGCTGACGCACCGCGGGCCACGCAGCTTGTGCGAGCTGAGGCACAACTGCTTGTAGGCTGTGGAACGAGTTCGTGGGCGGCAACGACCCACCAAATGTGGACGGGCTCGCCCGCCGTGCTGCAAAAGTCAAGGCAGTCGATGATGACGGCCGCAAGAGAGAAGTGGAATCCAGATTTGACGGGCGAGCTTCGAACGCCAAACTGCTCGGTGGCGCGGTTGTTCGGGCTGGTGGTGCAAAAAGTCAAGGCAGTCGATGATGACGGCCGCAAGAGAGAAGGACGGCCAGCCCCGGGCCGCCTCAGCTCGCACAGCAGCGCTAACGAGCAGTATGTCGCACGAAGCTCGCCCGTCAAATCTGGACTCCACCTCCTCTTGTGGCCGTCATCATCGACTGCCTTGACTTTTTGCAGCACGGCGGGCGAGCCCGTCCACATTGACGCAGTCGTTCCACAGCCTACAAGCAGTTTCGCAAGACAAAGACAGCGCAGGGCAAAGCTGCGTGGCCCGCGGTGCCTCAGCTCGCAGCCGCACTAACGTGCGGTTTTTTGCACGAAGCTCGCCCCTGCAAGCTGTGTCGCCCGAAAAAGACTGCGCAGGGCAAAGCTTCGTGGCCCGCGCGCCACCTGCATGCTTCGGCCAGCCCCGGGCCGCCTCAGCTCGCACAGCCGCGCTAACGAGCAGTTTGTCGTACGAAGCTCGCCCCTACAAGCAGTTTCGCAAGATAAAGACAGTGCAGGGCAAAGCTGTGTGGCCCGCGCTGCACGGCGCCTCAGCTCGCACAACCACTAACCGGCAGT